TGTGTTTCATCACGTTGTGTGTGTGTGCTGATTGTGAGTTTTTTACACATTGAACTTTAGAATGGCTTCACTTTCTGAAATCTTAAATGAAAGCTATATGACCATAATTTTAGACCAGAATATGTCTTTAGAGTGGAAAAGTTAATTTGAGTTGAAACGGTCGTATCTATTGGCTAATTAGGGAAGTAGTCGAAAGCAGGTTGAATCTTATTTTTGTTGTGGTTAATGAGTTTTTTGTTATTTTGTTTTGCTGTTGTTTTCAGTCAGCACAAAGATCTGTTGCATCATTATAAGAAGGAACATGTTATCTGTGAAGAGGGTGATTGCAAACAATTGGGAATTGCGTTCCGTACCGAAACGGAACTGAAACTGCATAAAGTATGTATGCTTGCGTTGTTGTGTTTTTTGTTTGATAAGATAGGTTGGTGATTTGGACGAGTGTGTTGCGGGAATGGGAGAAAAGTCGAGGACGGGGAAGGAAAGTCGAAGACGAAATTTTGCAGTCGTGGACATCGAAAATGCGGTCGTCGGAAAAAAAGTTGGGACAAAGGAATCGTGATAGGCCTCCTAAAATTAACAGAATCTCGCAACACACTAGTTTTCAGTATTGAAACATTTCAGGTAATGTCAAACCTTTGGCGCGTTATTCAGCAGTGGGGGTGTTGTTGGGGTTCTGANAAGTCAGGAGTTGAGTTAGAGACTAGGAATTGGTTATTGTATCTAATTATGTGGTGTGATATTTGAGAGCATTGAAGGGTTTTTGTTGAAGGTTTGTAGTGAAGTTTAAAAAATGGAGTGTATGATTCAGAGTCGAGACCATGCGGCTGGACCGCAAACGTTGGACGTGGACATTCATTTCACGGACCGAAGTTTTGGCGGAGGAATATCTCGAGGAGGAGGTGGTGGCGCTTCGTCGTCATCGCATCACAGAGGAGGAAGAGGAGGTGGAAGTGGCCAAGGACGGGGTGGTACTGCTTCTGCTGGGCATTTGCCTGGCTCCCAGCGAAATGTTCCCAGAATTGGTGTGGTACCATCTGAGCAACCGAAAGCGCCTCCAAGGTAAACGGACTAACTGCAAATTGAGCGATTTCAAATTTCGGCAAGCGGAATAATTTGAGATGCGAAGAGGGAAGGATGTTGTGGATATGTGAATATGTTATGATACGTTCATATTTCGTGAATGTAAGAAGTTCTGTCAAAAGTTTAATGTAGAGAATATGGGATTGAAGAGCCATTTGGAAGTTTGGATACCGCATGCCTTACGTTTGCTGGTTTCGAGATGATATTTAGATTTTTTTGTGGGAGGTGGGGAGGCCGGATAGATTGCAAGAATGGGTTTGTTGTTGTTATTGCGGTTGATGAGAAGAATGAAGAATGAAAACCGGAAATGTAAGTTCTACTCGATGACCTGAAGTAAGATGGTATTCGAGCGAAAGAAATTTCGCGTCGGTCGGAATAAGACCGAATTGACATTTGCAATTTCGGGCAGCCGGAATTCCAACCGAATGTCGGAACTGATCGGTCGAAATCCGATCCATCGAATTGATAATCTGAATTTCCGACAGACGGATAATCTGAATTCTGAATCAGTTCTGATCTTGCCAAATTGTT